AAATTCTGAGTTTTAAGGAGAGATTACACACCAAAAACATGTAAAAATGTTCATATGATGGTGGTGATCTATGACCCAAACATTAGAACTCAAGAAGATAGGTAGAATCATGATTTTATGTGAGTTTGATTCTTAAAAATGGCATTTTTAGGTGCTGACAGATTATGTGCATGTGCATAAATCGTCCATATCTTGAACATAATATGTTCAAATGTTATGAATCTTCTTCTAAAAGTTTATTTATTGAGTTGGAGTTGTAATCCAATTGGTCTCACTCAAAAAGATTGAGTTTTGACTCCCCAAATACTCAAAACATTATGAATGAGCATCTGAGAGTTTTTCAGTAGGTAAACCCTACTTTAAACAGCCATAACTCTCTAGATAATCATTCAAAATCATTGATTTTTCTTCTGGAAGTTAACGTAATGAGTTACCTTTCAAATTCCACCGATTTCATTAAAAAAATGTGGTGATTTAAGGTTTTAACTACTCAAATCAAAGTGAGCATGCAATCTGTCCGAATCTGACAGATTTGTATATGTATGTTCTAATGACCATATCTCTTTCAAAACTCAATGAAAAAGGATGATTCTTCCTTTGAGAGTTAACTATATGAGTTATCTTCTGCATGCAAGTGGAATCACATGAAAATATGGAGTTTTGATCTCCAAACACCTAAAACACTTTAGGTGTGCAAACTGTGAAACCATCAGTAGGTAACTCCTACTTTGTATGCTAATATCTCTTTATTTACTTGCTCTTAGTGTATGATTCTTCTTCTTAAATGTTTTTTTTTATGAGTTAGGGTTCTTATGAATCCATTTTCACTCAAAAATATGAAGTTTGAGGCATTAACCAATTTAATTAAGTTAAGTGTGCAATCTGTCAACTAATGACAGATGTGTGCATGTAACTTTATGGTGCCATATCTTCCTCTTAACTCATCCAAAATGAATGATTCTTATTTTAAAAGTTTCATTTAAGTGTTAAGTTTTTAATCCAACTTGAATTTCTGTAGAACACTTAGTAGAACTCTTTAAATGAGTATTTTACTAACATGGTATATTCTGCCATATCGGTTGTGACATACTGTATTGCATAAATTATTTGAATCATTATTGCATGTCCAAAATGCATGAAATTTGGTCTCAATGACCATAACTCAGTGCTATATCTCATATAAAAAGATAGGAAACTATCTCATTTTAGAAGTCTCTATAAATTGATCATTTTATGTACCATTAGTTTCTGTCCAAAAATGAGATTTTGGAATTATTTGATTTTATAAATTTTGATCTTTTATTGGATTATAGCATTACTTCCGGTATAAATTACTATATTAACAAGCATATGGGCATTATGTATATTTGGACTATAGATAATCAAGTTGGACATAAGTAGACACTTATGGACTTAGGACTTATTAATCCCCATAAGTAGATTTAAACCCATAAGTGACGATTTTGGATATTCCTCTTTGATAGGGAAACGTTAAGCTCGTGTGGTGACCGGATCGTATTTTTGATTTGCGGAGCTTGCAAAAGGGTGAGTTTTCACAGCCCCTTTTTACTATTTTCGCGTTTTTGGGGGAAAAGCATGTATAAAGGTAGTTGATGATTTGTATGCAATATACAATGTGTTTAAATCGTGGATACAAATTGATTTTCATGAATTATGCATTGAAATGAAATTGTGAATACGAGCACTAACACTTTGTACACTAGTAAAAGTTGTGTTTGGGTTAAATGAAAAAGTCCCACTTGGTTATACTACTTATTAACTCGTATGAGTCGATAGTTTAAGTGGATAGCGCTATTTGGATTGACAATCCCACCTTTTGTTGACGAGTAGGGGTGCATTTAACTAAAACAAGTGTTCTACACATGTGGGGTTTAGTCCCACCGTTGAGGTAGTCCGGTATATAAAGGGCGTAGTTGTCGCAGGTTTAGTAGTAGCCCAACACTTAAAAATTACTTGGAGTACATTGTGCCTCGTGTGAAAGTGTTGTGAGTAAGTAAAAGACTTACTCGAGCTATATTGCATAAAGATCTGTTGTACATTGAAAACCTGTGAACTCACCAATCTTGTAGTTGACACTTGTTTCGACATGCTTTTCAGGGGTAAGAAAGGCACATGGTGGCACTTAAAAGAAGCCGTGTTTCAACTATCACCTTCGAATTTCTTTTTGTGTTTAATTTACAAACTTGTCGTTTGGAATTGTAAACTTTGGTTAATGATGTAATTAAATTTTAAATGTATGGTGGTGTTATTTATAGTTTACTGCTATGAGACTCTACCTGCCATACCTCGTGTTTCCACTTTAGCGGGGTGTGGCACAGTGGGATTAAAGTGCGTTCATGAAAACTTTCAGATGAAGGTAAAGAAATCTTCCAAACACCGGTACGAGGTGGTGTGTCACTTAGATTCGGACTGTGATTGGCGTTTAATGGCTGTCTCCATTAATGGTACCAGTATGTTTCAGGTACGGAAGCTCCACGATGAACACACATGTTCAAGGTCCCAAGTGCACCCAAACCACCTTAATGCGAATAAAAAGGTTTTGGGTCATATATTAGCAGGGAGTTTAACGGATTGTAGGAGAGTGTACCGTGGTAAAGAAATCATGAAAGATGTGAACCAACGGTTCAATATTATCATCTCCTACCACCAAGCATGGCGAGCAAAGATGTATGCCTTGCTACTGTTGAGGGGGACCCCTGAATCGTCGTTTAACCCACTCCCGGTTTATTGTCACAATCTGAAGCTAGCAAATCCGAGGACTGTGACAGAGATTGCTGTTGATGGACTTGGACGATCCGACATGTTGTTTGTCGCACTCGGTTGTTTGGTAATAATTTTTGTCATTTTTTGTAATTATTGTCATAATTTTATGTTCTGGAGTTTAGATTTTTAATCTCGTTCATCTGCAGATTCGATCGTTTCTAGGACACATGAGATCGCTTCTTATAATGGACGGTGCCCATCTGAAGGGACCATACGTTGGCACCATGTTCTTAGCGGTCGGCATGGATGGAAACAATGGGATCGTACCTATTGCAATGGGAGTGGGGAAGACAGAAAGTGGTCCGTCATGGACATGGTTTTTACATAAGCTGAGGCAGTGTATCGGTGATGTGCCCAATTTAACATTCGTAACCGATAGGGCTGCCAGCCATACGAACTATATTTCCTAACGCACACCACGGACTTTATTGTCGGCATCTGAGCCAGAACCTCCGCCTAACCTCCACTAAAGAGAAAAGGAAACGGTGGATGTTCTGGGAGGCATGCAAAGCTTACAGGTTGTCAGACTTTGAAGCTACTATGGATCTGATGTGGCACAGTCTACCTACAGCCGCTCAATATCTTGAGGAAGTTGGCTACGCTAGATGGGCACGATCGCACTTCTCTGGATTGCGTTACAGTGCAATGACATCCAATAGTGTTTGAGTCCGTCAACTTAGTAACGCGGTTTGCACACTATCTTCCGATAACAATGCTAGCTAAATTTTATCAGGCGACATTGCAAAATTGGTATTTCATACATCGGCATAACGGAGGTAAATTCAACCATCCTTTCACTATATGTTTGATTATGTAACATATGCTAATGATATCAAATATTTGCAGCGCAAATGATGAATGCAGTGACTCCTTGGACGAAGGCCAAATTAGATAAGAGAATACATAGGAGCGCTAATTGGAAGGTATATCCCATCAGCGATTTGTTGTTTGAAGTTGACGACAGGTATAAGAAAGGAACGTGTGATTTGCATGCTAAGACTTGTACATGCATGCAATGGCAACTTTCTGGAATAGCTTACAGTCATGTGATATCTGTTGCTCGAAGTTTAGATATTCAAGACTGCAGTCAATTCTGTTGTGTTTGGTTCAATTCCGACTCTTACCGTGCAACATACAAGGAGGAAGTCATTTTCCTTCCACCAAAAGCTGAATATGTGTTGGCCAATGAACGTTTGACCGTCCTACCGCCTCCCTTGGACATACAAAACTCAGGTAGGCCACGTAACCGTGATCGTATCCCGTCACGAGATGAGGAACCAATAGTGAAAACTTGCAGTCGATGCGGCTAGAGTGGACGTTTTCGATATAATTGTCTGAGTCTGATGCCAGCTCCTAGGCCGACGCACGGAAGTTCAAGTAGTCGTCGAAGATCAGTTAGTCGTCCAAGCGATTGTGGTCCATCTGAACATGATACTACACAAAACTATGTATTTGATACTTCAGATTTAAGTAAGTAAATATACGATTTTAAAGTGTAGTTTTGTTGTTTTAATGGGAAATGGAAGTTTGATTTAGAAATGCAAGAACATTAACCATCAATACATAGACGAACCAACTGAAACAACAACATTCAGACGTAACATTAAAATGAAAAACATCAACGACAACAAAAACATTAATACATAACATTCTTGTTAGTTTCCTTCTGGGTAAAGTTGTTTGCAAGACTCAATCCAGTATTGTTTTTCATTGATCATTTCTTGCATCACTAGGTACCCATTCGCGATGTCCTTCACAATTTTTTCCTCTGCTCGAATCTCCTTTCGCAATTGCTTGATAGCTTTTTTCTTTTCTTCAATAGCTTCTTCATGTTTATTTTGTTTCTCCCTGTTAGCCCACCAGTCATCAGTGATCTTCTTAATCTCCGCTTTGGCCTTTTCAATCGAAGCCTTCATCCTGGTAAGCATTGTTTGAGAAGATGATGGGTTTCCAGCCATTTCTTTCAATAAATGGACAAGTACTTGTATCGGATTTGATATGAAGTTGTGATATATGATTTCACAAGGCATCATTTTTATACACTATCGGCCCTTACGATTTAATAAAGTTGGTCTAGTAGCTGGCATGGTGTTGTCAAATCCGGTCATGAACCTGGCATGACTTGTTAAATCGTCCCTGACATAAAGCTTACAAGATTCGTCCTGGCACCCTGACCCATGAACCTACCAATGCACTGTCACAACCTACGAGTTAATAGCTGACATGGTGTTGTCAAATCCGGTCATGAACCTGGCATGACTTGTTAAATTATCCCTGGCAAGATTCGTCAATAAAGCTTACAAGATTCGTTCTGGAAAAGCCTAACCTATAACCCTACCAATGTACTATCGCCCCCACTCTTTGCCACGATTTTGGTTAATCTACCCTCAGGGGCGATCCATTTTTTTTTCAATTATGGACTTGTTTTAGTGTTTAGTATGTTGAAGTATGTTTATATCATGTAAATTTAACCAATCATGAAGATGGATCATAAAATTTAGTCGGTAATTCTAACATTGAATTTTACCGACAATGCAACCCCTGTACTTTGACAATGTATAACTCACAAACCGTAAGTCGGAATAAGCCCGTATTTTGCAGTTATAAAAATCTTACTGTATACTACAACTTTCATGAACGGTCGAAAATCCAATTATGACTCGAAGTGGTTGGACCCGGTCGGTTTTTTAGGCTGTTTGCACACTTTTTGTTATTAATATGCAGTTTTGTAAAATTCATATAAATAGATGGATGATCCAAATGAGACGATTCCAAAACTAATATACTCGTGTGGTACCAACCTACAACTTTGATTTAGAAAATATAATCTATATTGGTCTCTGAGAAAGGTAAAAAATGCTTACCAAATGCATAAAGTTAATTTTTTTTTACAAATTTCAGTCATGAACCTGCCATAAAGCTATGAGTTGTTAAATCGTCGTTGACATAAAGCTTACAAGATTCGTCCTAAAACCCTGACCCATAACCCTACCAATGTACTATCGCCCCCCCTTTTGCCTCGACTTTGGTGACTCTACCCTCAGGGGCGATCCATTTTTTTATTTTTTTTTGACATTATGTTGCAAAAAAAAATATAAGCTTCTTTGTTGGTGTCAAATGTTCCTATAAAATGGGTTCTTGTTAGAAGACATATTACTGGCTACATTTTTCTGTTTTCTTTATAACAATGGACGGAAGCTCGTCCAGTTCTAATTTTAAAGTTCCAACGATGGATGAGAAGTGGGAGAGGCTGGGAGAAGAATGGTGGAGAAGTCAACTACCAGAAAAAATGCCCGATGATTTGAGAGAGGCTATCAAGGACTATGAACTTAAATTGGATATACTACAGGAAAAACGTGCGGACCTTGGTTCAAAAAAGGAGAAGATTGAACATGAGATGAACGAGCGGACGAGATAGATTGCTGATGCAAAACAATAGATTAAGCAACAACAGTGCTGGATTGCTGATGCAAAACAATAGATTAAGCAACAACAGTGCTGGATTGCTGATACACGAAAGAAAATCAAAGAGGCGGAAAACCTGAACCACGAGGCATGGTTCGAGCTTGCATGCGGGGAGACTAAAAGACACATTAGGTGGAATGAAGAGGTGAAAAAAACACGAAAGCAATAGAAAGAATTAAGGAACTCTATCCGCATGACAAAATTTAGTATTATTGGGTAAAAAACTTATTATTGTCGAAGTTATTGGTTCGATCTTTTAAAATGTATTGTACTGAAATGATGATGATGTGACAAGTCCCATTATGTTTTCCCTATAAATAACCTTGTTTTCCATTACAAACCCACTCCACCATCAATTATTCACTGCCTCTCAACTCAGAAGAAAAAAAATGGTGAGACATTGCAATTGTGGCGCTGATACAATCATCAGAATGTCATGGACCGATCACAAACCAGGCCGTCGATTCTTTTGCTGTTCATTACCTGTGAGTGTTTGCGTATATATGACCTTCGTATATAACAACCGGTAGTTATATATATATATATATATATGTGTGTGTGTGTGTGTGTGTATTCCTTACTTTTTTGTAGGGAAGAAACTGTGGATTTATTGATTGGCTTGATCCACCCATGTGTCCAAAATCCGTGCTAATTATTCCAGGGTTATTAAGATCGAAAAATAATCTTGAATCGTCACTTTTTGAAGCTGTTTTACATGTTCGCCGGTTAAGGACAATGTTGGCGATAAGTTGGATTTCTTTTTTTGTGATTGCGATGGTTTTGTTCATCAAGACGATTGTAGGATAATTGTGATTTACGCTTTAATATTATCGAAGACCATTTCATAAAATAGTGCAAACAATGTCATTTACAAGGAATAAATTTTTTATTTGGGATTAATTACACGCGTTGAATACAATATAGATGCCATACGTTAACGAAACATCATCGCATGAACGTCGGTAGGCGTATCACAATTGACCTCTAGTCCTTGCAACAACTACTCAACAAACATGCAGTAGAACACCCCACAATCGCTGAGTGTTCCCGTCTGTCGTGGCGCGTCGTCTGAAAAAAATACTTTAACATTCGGCGGTGCAATTTGCTCCATGACCCCTAGATAATATCTTGTTTCTAATAGGAATTCGGGGAGGAACTGCTTCAGCATGTGGGTGATTCTAATGATTTATTTCTTGAACATATGCGGCAGACAAGTATCGTGTATGGTCAAACGCCATGACCTCAGTTCGAGCTCCCCGGTCACCCAATGAGCATTCGGTATGTTAAATGGGATGAATACTTGGAAAAATAAGTTGCGAATAAGAATTGATAAAATAAAATATCTTATGTACGAAAAATAATTGTTGCGTGATTCTACCGACCCGGTCGACGTTTCGCCATGACGGAAATGGCTCGCGTGTACCATCGCCCCACACCTTCTGATCCGCAGGCCCAAGCCCTTCGTTTGCTAAACTTGGTATCCAACAAGGCTGCATGATGGTTCAACGGTCTGTTGGTTACCTCTGGCGGAGAAAATAGATGGTCCATGCATCAAGATGCTAAAAATACAGAACAATGGATCAATTGTAATTAAATGCGAAAAAAATGTAATTTTTCAACTTATACAAATTTGTGTAATTCTCATACGTCGTTTCCCAAATAGCCTGAACCAAGCTTGCCCAACAGTTGGCCCCAAAACTGCACGTCAGCTTCCATATACTAGAGCGTTGATAACCTAACCGGGGTTAACCGACCGAAGTCATACAACTGGGCAACGTCTGTCTCTTCGTCAACGACCTTCTTGTCCTTCTTTTTGCCCTTTAGCATTGTAAAAGGAAACGAGAGCCACCGCGATTTCTTGCTCACTCGCTTCGCAAGCAGGTCGGGGAAACAAACATCTTCTTTCATAGCGGGCAAAGGGACGTCGCATGGTGTAGATGCCGCAACATCCATCGCATGTTGCTGCTGCGACATAAACTGTGTACGCACAAGCCAAGATAAAATTAAAAGTTTATCTAATTTAATTATTAACTTCATAAATAAAAACAATATAAAACTTAAACATATTTACCATATCCATTTCGGTGTGGGGCGCCGGTATGTACTGTTTACGCACAATCCAATTAAAATTAATTTCTTTAATATACTTGTTAACTATTAAATTAAAATCAATAAAACCTTAAACATATTTACCGCATCCA